AAATGTTATTTTGATTATAAAAAAGGTATCTATTACTTGTATCAATATATTTTTAGTTTGTCTAAGGACGTAAGATAATTTATTTTGAAATGTTTCATATAAACGTATCGCTATTACTCAGATATTATATAATATGGTACACGGGGAACAAATGTATAATGTGTTTTTTAAACAATTAAAACTGACTATTAAAAACTTATATTTACCGTGTCGAAAAAAAAAAAAATGTTTTATTTTTTGAAATGTAGCGTATTCATATTCATAATATATTTATAACACGTGCGCATTTTATTGGCACTATGTTCATAAATTAACGATAACTCAGCTTAATACTGTTTAAAGTAGTACAATAATTTAATGACTCGCTGTATTTGTGTCTATTGAGTAGTAAATTTCGTAATAGGTATAATGTTTGTATATTTTAGTATGCATTACTATTTTTATGATTATATATTATAATATACTACTCAAGAATCAATCACACCATGAGAACTAGTGTTGAATTTGTAACGTTATTTAAAATTTGTAAGCGTCTAGAAACGAATTTATGGAATTTTTGGAGTGCCCAAAAGTACCATAACTATAAAAACTACTCAAAATAAGATTTTTAAATGAACACCTAATATGTGTATGGTTTAATGGGTATTGAAGGTAATGATTTTTTATCACAGGTATTCATAATAGTTATTCAGTTTAGGTAAGTTAATCTAGGACATAAACATAAAATGCCTCTAATTCTTATGATTTTTAAATCGCTATATGATTTTATGTATAAACCTTATATAGATATAGGTAGTTGTTTAATATCAACAATATTAAAATATATTATATAATATATTTTAATATATTTTATATTTTTATACATTTTGAAACGTTGATTGCATAAAACAATTAAATTGTTATTTTATAGCAGCAGTAATATGAGAATAATCATAATTTGTTGAATCGTATCTCTCTTGTAAACATTGTAGTATGGTAGAAAATAGGTAATACTTTAAACTGAAATAAATAATTCTACTCAGGTTTTATCTTACCGTCAACTATCTATATAGATCACAGTAGATAATATTTTAAGTACAATTGAGTAATTTACTAGGTATAGTGATATCAGTAGTTTTTAACTCATCGACCGTGTCGCCGTAACATCGTACGATGAAGGGCATGTGTGTTGTTTGGTATCATGATTATATAACACATAATACTAATAATAATGCTCATAAATCATAATTGTTGTAGCTATATGATCTCTATGGACCATACTTAAATTAAAGCCGAAGGTAGCTTGACATTTTAGTCCACTCTCCCTACCACTAGGCACTAACCGCTCCGGGCTATTTTCGCTTTACGGAGAAAAACTGTTAGCGAGTATTTTACCCAAATCGATTTTTTTTCAAGTAAATATTTTTAGATTCGTCCAAGTTTAATTTGTGCTTCATGTATCTACTTTCAAATTTCAATATTTGGGTTTAATATATTTCTACAACATTTTAAACTAAATGTTTTAAAAACCGCAGAAATATATCGGACTTCAATATTTCAATTCAATTGTATAATAAGCATAAATTAAATTAAGAGGAATCAAAAAATCTTAACTTGAAAAATTCAGCTAGTGTTCTCCCATAATGTATTAATATGACAGGAACGGTGCGTGGGGACAAAAATCTAGAGTAATCTTGGCCTTTAAATTGTTGTCTCGTCATATTTGTACTTACTGATTTTAGCTCAAATAAAATAATATACCGTCTATGTCTTATAAAATATAATATAATTTACAATAAAATAATTGTAGACGAAACATATCCTTATGTTATTATTATTATATACCTACTTCAAATTATTGCTAATGTTATAATTGTATTATACAATATTTATATATTTTTATTATTAATATTAATATTATTATGTTTGAGATTTAAAGAATAACAATGAAAAGATTAATATCTATGGTTAAATTATTATTATTTTTTGTATTTTTTTAAGACTTATTTATTACATATACATTCATTCAAAAAAAATGTTTAGGTATTAGTTTATTCTGTATTCAGAGTTAAATCAAATAATATTGAATTGTCTTATAAATTACCAGGTCAATGTTCAATTAAATCTGTAATCTACATTCAACAACTTTTGAGGATGGCCAATGAGATAGTTAGTATAGGTTTATGAAATGCGTCTTAATAATTTACGGTGATGTTATAAATATGGATTGACACAGATTATTTCATTACCTACACTAATTATGTTAAAAGCTTAAACAACATAAGTCTGTTTTAATTTTTATCTTTCAGTAGGTATTCGTCCACTAAAGGCACATATAATTTATTTAATCAGTGAATTGTCTCATAAGTCATAACCAAGTACATAACTATTTGACATTGTTTATTATTCATGAAATAATGACAATGTCTATACACGGTTATAATTTGTGGTTATTCCAAGTTAAACCATTTCAAACCGATCGATATGAAAAAGGTTTTATCGCCGTGGTATAATATTAGTTTTGATGCAATTGAAAAGTAACCTTTTTTAAATTTGACGGAAACGAGATGAGAACAAAAATATATATTTTTTTTTTCGGAAACAAATAGGCCCCATATGTATTATAGTATAAGAGAACGAACAATGCAAAGCAAATTCATAAAAGTTGCTGCCACTGCCAATTTGCTATCATCCATTTCGCTAAAAATGGGGTTTTGTTAGTACACAGCGCGTGGTAAACACTTGTATTATTTTCCACCCACTACTGAAAAATCCATCCATCGGTAAAGGTATATACTATATTTATAGGTATATATAAAACATATATACATTTTATTGACAACCCAACGCTGTTCTCTCATATACCGACCACTTATATGTATATATATAGATAGTGTGTTCTGCCCTGAAAAATAACTTATTGCGCGAATAAGGAAAGGTATTTTGCGTCATCGTCCTGTGCGTGTGTGATGTACGGGATGTGTTGATGGTCGAAGATGAGGCAGGGTTGGTGTGTGGGTTTTTGAATGACTGAGAGGAAGCCTTTACAACAATAACCACTTAGCCAGACGGGTTTATGCCAATAGCTGGTTTTTGTTTATTGAAAAGCTTCCGAGGAAAAGGGGTCGAGAATTATACACATATAAGCAATGTATACGTATTGCTAACGGCTCGCCTGGTTTTGGGGCAACAAATAAAACCGTATGGAGAGAAAAATAGAGATACTGAGCGAGGAGAGAGAGAGAGAGAGAGAGAGTGAGAGTGAGAGTGAGAAGCACCGCGGTGACCGAAAATATTTATCGCCGAGCTCGTTTAATCACGATGCCGCCGCAGCTCGGGGTTATCCAAATAATTGGTTTTCGGTTATGAAAACAACAGATGCGAGGAGAATAATATGTGATGGGACGTGATGCGTCTCCAGGGACTCCGTGTACATTCGCGCCGTGGCGTTTGCCCTTTTCGGTCCGAGTGCGTCCGTTCACGTATACAATATACCATATCATATATGTATAATATATATATGCGTGTGTGTGTGTGTGTATGTATACTCTCATACGGAGAGAATTTAAAAGTCATTTATATTGTTTTTCCGGCTTGTGAAACCGAATACGTTCGTCGAACAAACAGCGCTAGAGCTGTATAGTCGCCGTTAATATCGTAACGCCTATGATGTCATCGTCATCGTCATCGCCGGGGCTCGAGAATTTGATTATCGCTCGATCCGTGTTTTCGGTATATTACTCGCCTATCGTTTTCGCCCGACGCTGTTCAAAAAACGCTGCAAGAATTTCTAACCCGGAGGTCGTGCTTTATTTGAATCTATTGTAAATTTGTTGTTTGTATATTCGACGAGGCCAAGCCCTAAGTTTTGCCCCCTCCCCCCGCTCACGAGTTTAAGCACTGACTATTGGAGGACTACGCGGAGGAGAACTGTAGGGATGACGGTAAAATATGATAATGCCTTAGTTTCGATGTATACAAAACGCGTGTCGGGTGCGCGGGATAATAATATGATGCGGGGAGGTGCTTGCATATTGTTTTATAAGTATTGTTCTGTAACTTAACTTCTTATAAGTGTAACAAGAGTATAACGAAATTCGACAGCCCGTTGTTCATCCACCGCGCATCGTCCATCCCTTGCAATCGCTGTGGCGTGTTTCGTCTTGAACCGCACACTCGGAAAAAGACAATGATAATAATAACGATTACGACTGCACAGCGACAGCGAACATAATGGTGGGAGTACCGTTGACGACGGCAGTGTGTCTCCTCAGTAATAAACCGAAATAATATATTGTATAAATACGAGTGCAAGAATATAATACGTAATAATATATCTTACGGTTGCAAAGGTACATAATATATACTATATTATTACAGTAATGGGGCAACCCCGCGATCGTCCGCCCGTGTTTAATATAAATCATTTGGCGGCCATTATTCCTCGGTATCTTTTCGGATTCGCGAATCGTAGACGCGATATGCGCGCATATATACATATATATTTATTTATTTATTGTACGTACGCATAATAAATTATATGTACCTAAGTGTACAATGATAAATCATATGCGCGCGGACCCGACGCGATAAAATTGCATAACGTTTTTCACGGTTTCTTGCCGCGGTCCCGACTGATCGTTTGTCGTTAATGCATGTTTCGTTCGACCGTTCAAATACACGTATATGGCGTGTGAACGACCGCGACGATGATAATATTATTGAGAGTTCGTTCAAAAATTGTCAGGACAGTAGGGCTGAGTGGAAGGGGGGGGGAATAAAGCTGAACGTGCCGCCCGAATTGAAGATTTTTTAAGCATTATATACAGATACCTAACCTAACCTATATGCTGATTTTCGTTTTTCCTACGAACGCCGATCGACAACGTTATGATTGTCGTGAGCGACTTTTTTTTATTATGACTTAATAATCATAATTCGACTAGTACTTACATTATTATTATGAGATGAATGAACTTGTTGTGATTTATTAATTTTTGCATGTTCTATGTTTGTTGCAGAAAGAAAATTATTCATCGGAATGCTGTCGAAAAAAATATCTGAACCCGACATCAGGTTGATGTTTGAACCTTTCGGAGCCATCGAAGAGTGTTCGGTTCTCCGGGACCCGAATGGCGTTAGCAAAGGTAAAATATTTCGTTTGATAAAAAAATACTATATTCTATATCCTACCAATATGTTTCAAAAAAAAATATGCGACCGTATAGGTAGCAATTATTTAGTGAAACGGTATGGCTGCCGCTCGCTTTGCCACGCGTTTGCATTATATTTTTTAATTTATAAAAAACACGTGTTGTTTGCTTATGTATTTGTTTGACACTTAACTAACTTATTATAATTGGTATAGTGTGTACATAAATTATACTACTTTAATTGTATAGTTTGCAGCTATCGATCGGTTTTTTTTTTGTTGCCATATACATCTTTGTTTCCCGATTTTAGCGCTCGGGGTACTATGACTTTTTCCACTTTACAAGTATTTATTAGTTTTGCGTGGATAATAATATTATGTTGTGACCTATCGTGGCGTAGTGAAATGTCCTTATGAAATATAGTTGATGTTCGCATAATGTAGAGTGATAAAGGTCCTTGTTTTTTCATCATAACATACATCGACCATATCGTGTAATAACTAATGTAAGCGTATAACAAATTCGTCGTCGGGTTAGAAGCAGCGTTTGTGCTCGTCGTAATAAAACGAATTAATATCGTTTTAGATTGTGCCGAGGACAGATTTTTGGCTTCCGAGCTACTATATTTATAATATTTCCTCCAGTACACTTATTCTCAAAAGTACTCCACCAGAGTCGTCGGTTAACACTGTATGGAAAAATATTGTCATTCTATTCGATCTCTCAAAAAGCTACAATTGCTATAACATTTGATGTAAAAGATTATCTACCATTATACTGATGATGTATACTCAAATTCGACTTATTTACCAAAGATAATATGCTATTATGATATGCTTATTTATTTTATGAAAAAATAAACGAAAACATCCTTTACGTCTATTTTGAATAGACTGTATTAATTATTTTTAATAGAATATTTTAGACATAATTCGATTCTTGCTTTAAATTCTTATTTAGAGTTTTAGAATACTAGGGTGAGAATTCTATTGGATTTACCATGATAGTGACTTCTTTTGTTTTTGTTTTCATGATGTTATCACTTTCGTATAAAATAGATGTGCCAAAAGTTTCATATACCTTTTTAGATTGGGAATTGGACACATATGTTACCACTAGTATTAGGTTATTTCGGAAATTTTCCAGTAGTTTCTTTTAGGAAATGACAAAAAAACTATTGAAAATCGAGTCCTCACTGCAGGAAACCCAGTGGGAGATTCCCGTTAGATTCCCACTGAGGAACTAAACTTTTTGCATTATTTACAACTTTTTGAACATCCTAGACAGTTGAAATTTTCACCGATTTTTATTTTAGTATCCTATAGATGTTGTATATTATTATCAAAAACGATTTCGAAGGCTTTACAATTTAATCCCAGATTAATCTTGAGAATGTTTTAGCTATAAATACGATCGGGATATCGATTTTTCTCGTTTATCAATATTGTTATTTGGTAATCTGATTTCCCAAGGAATTAATTAAATTTAATCAATACAAATCATTGATAAAGAGTAAAAACTGAATATACGATTTATTGTTACTGTTAATGTAAAGGCAATAATATTGCCATATATATTATATTATATGCCAAACCCATATCCAGTATCCTCATTTTTTATATTAATAATTCTTATTTTTTTTAAACGGTTTTTTTATTTCACTAGGTAGTACTTTTTGGTATTATTTTATTACAGAGGTAACTGCTAGACAGATTTAAACCAAAAACAATTAATTCAATAAGACGGGAATGGTTTAAATACTTTTATCATCAAATTTCTTATCTTATTATTTATTTCTGTAATCCTCAATACTTTGACAACTACATATTTAATCATGAACTCAACTAGTTAAGCATTACCAGTAGTATTGCATAGTTTTATCATACTGTGTGTGTATGTGACGCTTTTTGAAAATTAACGTTTTTACAAACAACTTAAACTTACATTTTTTTCCAACTTGCAGACCATGAATATTGCGTCAGTTTAAAATGAGCTACTCGATATTCAGTTCAGGTTTTTTTTCTGAAAGTAACTTTTAAACATTGTTGGATTTTTTCAAATATTTCTATGTTGGTATACAGTTTGAAAGTTGCGTGTATTCGTTAATATACGACGAGGTATATAACATCTTGCTCGAAATAATCTTGCATAAAAAAAAACTTGAAAAATGTTCTTGGTTTTTTGTTATGTGTATTCTGGGTATTACTGTAAATTAAAATGTGTTATGTTCAGGGTTTAAAAATAAAATAAATATATAATATAGAACGCGGTATTGTTACTTCACACCGAAAATCGTATATGCAGTTATTGACTCGTTGGTTTCGAATTTAATAGGTAATATGTTTTTATGTTTTTATGCATTTATGCATTTACAAGAAATAAACTCCCTTGAACGCCATATTATTTAATAATATATAATGAGCTCTCATTTAGCTCTGTGTGCTACTACTGTACAACACAGCCAGTCAGCTAGCCGCAGCGATACATGTCGCGGCCGGTACCCGTCGGCGAATGATTTTTTATGTTATACAATTAAGTCATTTAACGACTGGGTTAATTCTGGTATTGCAGGTTGCGCATTCGTCACGTACACGACCAAACAGAACGCCATCGCGGCCATCAAGGGTATGCATCACTCGCAGACAATGGAGGGCTGCACGTGTCCGCTGGTTGTCAAATTCGCCGACACCCAAAAGGAAAAGGACCAGAAACGCATGCAGCAGATGCAAGCGAACTTGTGGGGCCTGGCAGCGACCGGAGGCAACAGCGTGCCCACAGCCCAGTACTTGGCTCTAGGCGTGCTGGCCAATCAGCAGATGAACGTAATTATAATATTTGATACGATTATTCCCTTCCGTTTTTCATAGACGAAACGCGCGTACTACTCTAGTCGCTGGAGTTGGATAGAAAGGGCGAGAGGAGTTGATGAAACGTTTTAAGATTTTCTTTGGCTTTAGACACGTTTTTTAAAAAAAATTTTTGCCGACGTTACTTTTCAGTCGTCTTTTGTCGTCGTGTAAACTTCAGCAAACGTCTATACAATATCCTTTTCGATGACTGTTTACACACACCATCGAGAGTACTGTCATACGTACAACGTGTTTCAGGCAAATTGTACATAGTTTTAAGCTTGAATCACTTTTAAATAACTCGCGGTACCCTATTTCAGATGCTGCACCCTGTACAACACTATACATTTTATACCTCGTGGTTGCGGTAAATGTTATTGTGCTCGCGAATAGTGTTCAAACTTAATATACCTACCGACCCGTGAGATTCCTCTTGTAGGTACACCTCGAATGCGCAACGTAATCTCCACAATCTAAGCAAACGCCATGGATAGTTTAAAAAGTTATTCGTGGCTCTCGCGCATCGTCGGTGTCAACTGTTGACGTTTCGAAGCGATTTCCCGATTTCCTCCCAGTGCTTTACAATAAGGGGGATAAATACATTTTCACGTGACATGTTATATAATATAGAAGTGTACTAAAACGGATTGCGAATAATAATTACACCTTTAGCCTGTTTCTAATAATAATAATTATATTATATTATTATTAGGCATGTTTATTGTGTATAAACTCTGCAAATATCTTTATCGTATAGAAATCTCGTTACATCGTATATATACACTATAATATTGTATATATAATCCACGGTGCACTTTGCCTGCGTTGATTGCAAAATCCGCTCACACCACGGCGTTCGACCAAATCCTCCTCCTCTTACCTAATCGTTTTCTAATTAAACTTATAAACTGTTCTGCAGCGCGCCGTGTTTATGCGCGTTTTATGAAGTTAGTATTGAAACTAACCCCTTGCAGAATGCTCCCGTGGGTGTAAATGGCAATGTAATAAACTTGGTGATTCGGAGCGACTCCGCGAAAACTTTGACCGTAAAAGTATTTTGCCTGTTCGGGTAATTCGCCAAAATAATTTTGTTCATTTTATAAATGCTCAGGATCGTCGTCATGTATTCTCCCAACGGATGATAACGAGTTTGTCGTTACACGTCTCTGCAAAAATCATCGGCGCATGTAGATTATTTACTTCGTATAAATAATTTACAATGTTAATTTAAAAAAAAAACTTTACTCGCCATTTGGTGAATGGTGAAATCAGAACTTCCCAACTTCTTAACATTTTCATTTACTTTTAATTTTGAGTGAAAATTCGATGTGTGCGAGAAACCTCCAAGCCGTGATGTTTGAATATTTGATACGTATTGAAATGTATTTTATACAAATACATATCTATGTTGTATATATAATATAGTAATATGATGTATGTGTAATATATTTTATATATGGCTTACTTTTCCGAAATTGGTTTTAGTTCGTTTCCAACAGCTACTTTAAGTTTAAATTAAAAACCCATTTGGTAGGCAGTATAGTAGTGTTATACGTATAAAGGTAGTGGATGACGTTGATTCGTAGAATTCGCAACGGTGGGAAAGCCTGTAGGCGACAAAGGTTAAGCAGTGCAAAGCGTTTTTACGACGTTAATCGTTTAACATATTTTCTGTCTCGATTGGATTGATAAATATATATATATATATTTATTATCATACGATACGAATATATTACGTTTTCTTTCGAAACTCGAATTTTATTGATTTTTACCGCAGACGCGTTTTCTGCTAAATTACATTTCAACGCTCCTCGCCCTTTCCGCGTTTCAGACGAATCGATTCGACCAGAAGACGACAGACAAATGTGTGGATCCCGGGGCCCTTTTCTTTGCGGTAACAGTTCATAGTACGTAAAAAAAATATCGTTCTATCATTAATCTAAGTATTGTAGTATCGTGTCGCTTATTAATATCGTCGTCTTCCGACGTACTCCAATCGGGTGTGACCGCAATTTTATTAATTGTCCTCTATTTGGCGGTGATAGAAAATTTAAACCAAACCTACATACTCAGAGGCACTTCTTCCTCGACCTCCTATAATTGTCGTCATAATATAGATAACTATACGATATTGTTAAAATTGAAAAAATAATAATAATATGGCTACGTTTATTATACACACAACTGATTCATCTAACATATTACATCTTAGCATGTAATATTTTAAAAATGACGTCGTTATTTATACGTCGTGATATGTGGAGTAGGAAGTGTTAAACGTATTATCCGGAAACTGCAAAAAATTACTCGCAGTTTGTACTCATTTTCGATTTTTTAACCGACATTTTTTCTCATTCGATAACTCGAAAACAAATACGAGTAATAAAAAATAACATTATATTATAATAATGTAACGCACTAACGCGAGTGCTGTAGGATTTTTTATCCCGCGATTTTTGGCAAATGCTTTCGGAGAGACGGCCCCTCTTTATTCCTCCCCCCTCCAACCACAATTCCGAACAAACACTCAGCGCACTGCAGTCTGTAGTGGAAGTGTTTCGTTAGTGTTCCACTGTACAACTCGATGCGTAACAATTCCGTTTTTTGTGATTCGCAGAATGACACGAATTCGCTGTCTTCGCAAGTGCTCCAGCAGATCCAGCTGAACGCCGCTGCCGCTGCGGTGGCAGCCAACAACAACAACAACCATCAGCTGAACAATCTGCTTTTGACCAGCAACACAGGTGCGTTTTCCTTGAGTAATATTGTCCGTGTGCTTGTACACGTCACGGTACAGCCAAATTACCGGTGTATTGTGACGCTTAAAAGTGGGTAATTTACTAATCATAATAATATAATATATGTATTGGTGTCTAGTGTCTGACGCATTCTTCTGAAAACTCGCGGTCACAATATTATAAGGTAGAGAAAAAAATCGCGACCGGCTTGGTAGTGGATTATGTATTTTCGATTTTTACGACCTTTTTACCGTTTTATTTAAATGTTTCTAAAATTATATTTTATTTCGTTCCGATATTATTCGTTTCCGGTATGTATAGGTACCACTTGCTGCCTACTTATTGTTGTTTCTTATCAGTCGGAACGCATATACTACGACGATTAAACGTTTGAATACGTATGTAAACACAAATATGATTCGTCGTGTTCTCGCATACAAATGTGAAACATAATATTAATAACTTGGACTATAATTCGTATACACCGTCATCTCTCACTGAACACACCCGTAGCAGATGATCGTTTAAAACATGTTATACAGCGTAAAAAGGACATCAGAATTTATTGCTATAATTCGTTAACGACGGCCAATGCCGTTTCGATAATACATAAATGACAACCATCCTGCTGCCATCAAATTGAGTTATAAATGTATCGAGAAGTATATTATTTATATTATGTTCTCGAGAATTCCTAATACTGGTGATGCATTTAACTTAAACACTCATTAGCTTAAAAACCATTAAAGTTATTAAAATTCAATTTTAAGTTTTAAAAGACAAACATTTTTTTTTACGTTTTTCTTAAATCTAACCTTTTTAATGACAATATTATGTATTTTTAATTCTTTATACTAAAGCAGAATATATTTGGAAGTGCTTTGATGAACATAAAAATCGATTTTCGGACGAGTACTATATGAGTTACAACTTATTGCAAACAAGTGTAGTAGACACATCTAAACTTTCAATACTTATAAATTACTTATAATTTGTAACTAATAATCTTCTTATCCTAAATTTGATTCTCATAGATCGAAATAATACTTTAAATAATATTCTGCTTAGAATAATAAATTTAAAATGCATGTTGTCATTCCAAAGAGTATAATTTTATTCACACAACACAACTTTTTTTCAAAAATATTATTTTGGTAACGACTTAAAATGATGAAAAATAAATATTTACTAAAACGTTAGCGAGTGTTAAAAAGTGTCTTACTTTAAATGGATCACACCGTATATATAGTTTTTGAAATGTCATACTTTTTTAACCGACGACGATTCTGCTGGAAGCATATCCGTTTACATAGATGGGTTTTATGAGGTCGTCGAGTGTATATCAATATTTTAAAATAATATAATATATATTTCACAAAGTTCTAAGTACATAAACATTATATTCAAAAGCCTACTCAACACTGACCAGTAATGCGTAACGTCGGAATGAACATTTTTTGTATCCTTATAACATGATGCGAAGCGATATTATTCATACTAATTACTATAATAAATTATCTATTCATTAATACTACCTTTAATATATTACCTATTCATTGCTACTATAATATATTATCTATTGTTGTTCAATAAACTGTCGGTGGCGGTGTTATACTATTCGTCTCTTCTATAAAATACCCAGGTATACTATAATAGTATACTATAACTGTACAACGGGCGTTGTTATTATTATTTTTATTGTAAAATGTCATTAATTTCATGTGACCCCCAATATTCAGGTGCGCTCAAATCCCCGTATCATGTCCAGACGTCCCATTACCATCCCACACATGTAGATACCGTGTCACCTCGGCGTTTAGATTACACCGATCCTTTCTATACAGGCTACCAGAATTTGTCAGCGTCGCCGCCGAGCCTGGGAGACTTAAACCCTGGAAACTTGCAAAACCTGTCGACGCTCGCTAATTTGTCCGTCGGAAACCCTAGTGAGTACAACTTGTTATGTTATTGTTATCGTGTTGGTAATATTTGTATACTGCTATGTCGTATGATTGTATATACGTTTGTGTATATGTCGTTATTATAACATAATAATATACATATCGTTATACCTAAAATAATAAAAACAACAGTTATAAATTATAATAATATTATAATTGTTATTACTTTTCTGCGGTTCGATTATGTGTTGTACATGCCGTTTTCAACCGTTTGTACCAGCCGAAATCGAAACGAGAATTTATTTATGTTCATGATTGTTATTTCGTTATTCCTGGTTAATTGGTATTTACCATTGCCGAGTCATTACAATTTCTATTTAGACGTCAAGTGAATTATTGTTAAATTATGATAGTTAGTACTTAATATACATGTTAATGTCTTACATATTTCTGGTTAAATTATACTTATTTAATAGGCCGAGTGCTTTTCTAACCACGAACCAGCTATCACTCCATTTACTTTATCGTTGGGCTCAACCTGGTTCACAGAAGCTCTGTATATATTTATATTCGTATTATATTATTTACAGTTGCAATCATTTTAGTTTAGTATGTTTATGGTACATTATGATTAAAGTTGAAAGTTTAACAATTTGTTATAATGGCATTGTGTATAACTGGTGACGAATTGTGAATTTAAATAAAAAAATCGCATTGTTATAATATGAGCACAATGAAAATGGAATCCCGAGACGGACGATGTACTTAGTGTATAGGTAGGTATCGAGCGTATTTAACATACAGAAAGTAAAATAAATTATATACAATTAGTGAACAATTTTTTATTTTATTTGTGTGTTCAAACGAGAAGTTTAAATTTATTTTAATTTCGGATGACATGGCGTTAGAACTTTCTACCCACCCTTTTTTTTATACACGTATTTTATTTCGCTCGTTTACCTGCAAGGCAACAAACAGTTAGGGTTTTATTTTCCTTCCTTTTCGCCCACAGTAACCTTTTTTTTTTTTTTTTAAACGAGCCGACTTTCAAACATTTTGCGTCCGTCCGACCGACCGGTGCAATGTTTCTTATAAATGCTCGTCGTTTTATAGATGCACTTCTAATAATAATGTACTCCCGAATTCCAAGTGCGGCAACCACGTGATGACCGCACACCTATTATAATAAAATGTGCCGACTGTATTTAAACCGTGCCTTTACTTTTTTGGTTAAGAGCCAAGAACCAAAAAGTTGGAAAACAGTGGTTTCTTCACGCACCACCTTTTCAAGGCGTGAACGTTATCTTATTTTTGGAAATTTTTATTGTTTTTATCGGATATTCGGATAGCCATATTATGAAGATAATAAAATATGCAAAAAAAAAAATGACTGTTATTTGCACCAACATCTAAAATATGCTAAATGTATTTCTTTATTAAGTATGTTAATAATTAATTAAATAAATAACATTTTTATCTCACATAATATTTTGAATTCTAAATGACATCCATCGATTTATATATATCGTATACGAAATCATTAAATTCACAGTCCTGGTGTGTGCCATAATTGCCGTCACCGTATACGTGTCTACGGCAATAACCGGAGACGCGCACCAGCAAAATTATAATACAAACGATAATAATAATAATCATAATACTCGAACCGGAAGTAGTTTTCCTTGCATAGCGCGTGGTCGATTGGCAGTCTCTTTGTGTCGTCACCGTCAACTGAATTTTATTTATTATTTGAATATGATATAACGGCCCCTTTTTTTGCCCCTTGGCTTCCGTTAATTATAATTATTATTCATGATCGGCCGGCAGCAGGTAACGGACTCACCGATGCTTGGTGTGTGTTTTTTTTTTATAAAATTACATTCTCGTGTGCCAATGTAATGTTATATTTGTGGTGTCTGTTATTGTTTTACCTTAATCATTTTTTATTTTCCAGTAGTCAACTCTGTGAACATGCAGAATCTAGTCACGTTGGCCGCGATGGGGGCAAATTCCGTTTCGCCTACAGGTAAACCTCCATTAATGTATTTTTGTTACGTAATTACGGATCGTATAATTTTTTTTTTGGAGGGCTTTCTCGATCACACGACATGTTCAATTAAATTTGACGATTGGTTGATGGGTAAAACGGACACAATCAGATTGGCCGTTTATTGACCGGTTTCAATTTTATTTGGTTTTTATTGTAATCACAAAAAATAAGTTAATGAACTTTAAGCGTAGATATAGGACAAAACTTCGACAATATTATTCATAGTACTGATTTTGACCTAGGTTAGTAGCCGATGATATATTTCAAATAAATTCTGCAAATTATTATCAACCCTAATTAATCAAAATAAATATAAAATCGTTTGAAAGTCATTGATTTTTGAAACGATGTTTATTATTTATTTACTCTATATAATATATATATATAAAAAAACGGTTGAACAAAAATAATTCTGATGTATATAAAGTTGTATTGAATTATACTAATCAATATATTTTTTTTTAATTATGAAATCAAATTCATGCAAACACTGTAAAAAGATAAAAAATAGTACATTTTTCAGTTAAAAACAAATATAAAACGTCACAATATTATTTTAAGTACGACATTGACTCAAACAATTGGTGAAGTCAAATGTAATTAGTAAAAAAAAAAATATATACCTATCAGTAAGACCTGCCAACTCAACTAAATGTTGTTTGAAATATAAATGACGTGTGTAGTTAAATTTTTAACGAGCTCAGTATTGCATAAAATAATATTTAATACATTACTGAGAACGAAAATTAGTTACAATAGATTTATATATGTGTTATATGTCAGTCGATCGAAATCATACTCCATGTTTTAATTAATTAGAAGTGCAATCTCGCATCGGAGCTTTTCCTCAAAAGTTTTGAATGTCGTCTGCAAGTTTATGGAAGTACAAAGTTAGGAGAGGAAAATGGAATAATAATAACTGGTACACAATATGCGTACAATGTTCAAAAATATTTTTCAATGTGCCGTCACCTTTTTCATTTTATTATAGTGTTGCCGTAGAACCCACGACCACCGTTTTAGTTTTTAAACACTACAATTTTTATACACATGCCTTTTGTAATACACGTTGAGTCTGCTGTTCGAGCAGTACCTACCAGTGGAGGATATTTTTGAAAACTTTTTTTTTATAACAATAATATGATGTGTTACTCAATTTATTTACATGTTAAAAAAGTCAATTTAACCGGTCGAGAAAGCTGTGTTATTATTAATAAAGTTTACTACATTACATTATAAGATATCTATAGGAATTAATTTTTAAACAGTAAATCTCAAGGAACAATAATTAAATCAAATCATTTTATTATTTTAGGATCCAGTTCGTCTAGTCTAAGTAGTTCAGGTTGGTTTATTTTACAGGATTTTATGTTGATTCATATACTTTTGTTTTATCGAGATTATCTTCAGCCACTTTGTTTTTTTTTTATGTTTGTATTTGTTTTGTATCCTGATTATTTCTAAGTTCATTTTGCTTAATGTAATGCATTTGCATGATTTTTTTTTTATTTGGTGTAACAATAATTAATGTTTTGCCTTGACTATTCGGTCAACATTATTTTTTTTAATTTTATCATATAATTACGAACCATTCGATTCATTCGTTATCTGTTGGTTAAAACAACGAACTCAAAAACATTATTGTATCAATCATTATCTTTGCTTTTATTTTTCCATTTTAATTAGACTACTTTTAAAAGGTTGATAAATACAAATAAATATGTATCTTTATTATTATATTTCTAATAATGCGTTATATCAATATATACTAGTTTCAGAAAAATATTTGAAATTGTTATTTTTAAATAATCTGTTTACACACTTTAATTTCAAATCACATAGTGTAACAATTTGACATTTATTATACTCTAGGTGGCAGATTATTTATTTTTATTATTTATAGCGTATTTATATATTATAATAATAATCAATCATAAGATTGATAATATTTTTATCGTTTTTAAACTGTTGCAAAATTTTAAAACCCCACTGTAAAAAATAGAATAGCTATGTTTTAATTTCAGTAAATTGGTTTTTTTTTATAAAAGTAATTTTGTGCTAGGCTTGTTAATTTAATCTAATTTTGACAAGGTTGTTTTAAGTAATATTTTTTTCTTAATTTAAAGTTTGTATTTTGTTAATTATAACAAACGCTTTATTCTAAATTAACCAAAACATTTAAAATGGCTTAAATAATCTCCCAGATTCTATCCCTATAAATGAAGTATATATTTGAAGTACCTAGAAATGATACATGTATAATAATGTGTATTAATATATTATATATTATAGTAATTAAATGTTTAATTATGAAAATATGAAATGACTATAATATTGGGAATTATAAATACAATAACCTATTTTACGTTCTTTTTAATGACCGAAGAATATTTATCTTATTTTGTGTTTATAAATTCATAACTCTGTCAAAATCATCTAACAATTTGTAATACATTTCCACGATTAATCTGTAACACTTGGATTTATAACTTTTAATTAGCTAAGAAATTGCATGGTTTTTTTTATTTGGTACTTAGTGGTAAGATCATAATATAATGGAAGTAGACTAGTACTACATTTTGCATAATATAATTGTATTCATGATAATTTATACGTCCGTTGAATACTATGCATTTGTATTGCACATTATTAAAAGTTCAGGAAATGTCATGTGTAAAGAGTACCAACTACATATTATTATCATTTTTATAAATAGTATACCGGTGGAACCAAATAATATTACCCACATTAATATAATATTATGGTGTTAAAATATCGATTTGTTTTATCAATAGTTTGTATTTGTAATAAATTGTACGTAAATGCTTGGAATCCATTTACGAAATTTTTTTGTTTTTTTTTTTTGTTTTGAAAAATTTAACTGGGATTTTTATTTGAATATTTATCCGTGCTTACTATTACATAATCCATAACTTGTATATTTTATATGAGATGTAATGTTTTTGTTATATGTTTGGAATTTTAGCACGTTAAATATATACTTATATAGTTTTGCATATTAACGCTTTGTTATATATAATAACGTGTAATTTAGAGATATGTTTTAAATACAACTATTTTGTGTTTCAGCTCTGTCAAGTTTGTCGCCTACGTCTGCAGCCGCTGCAGGTTTGTAAAATTTATTATTTCTGTATATATATTTGTCTCCCATGTTCGGTTATTATTATTATTTTACATTTGAATACTCCTCGCGTTTCCTTTTGTTTTTATTGTTTCGTTGTATGTTTGTTTTTTTTCTCATTTGACTCCATACTTTTCTTTTCTAGTTTTATTTGGAAAAAATTCCGGTAAGTGGTCTTGGAATATGTGTGTGTGTACGCGTGATAGTATTTATAAGCAAATTGTAATTGTTTTCCTTTTGTTTTGTTTTTCCTTTTCCCTTGTGAAAAAATAAAACTACCCATATATTCTATCACATGTGCGTTAATGTAGTGTAACTTGCAAGTGAGAAAATAATAATATAATACGTGTAATGTGTCTTGTGTATGTCTGGCTATAAAATAATAAGTGTTCCGTCCAAGTGCTATTGACTCCGCGAGTCCATCCTCCCTAAACGTCGTGTGCAACTTATACTTCGTCACAAAAAAACTCAAATCTCGATAATTTTTTGTTAGAGTGAATTCTTATTAACATACAGCGAAACGTAAACTACAATTGTTATCGTTCTAAATTTGTGCGTGTTTCGGTTTTGTTTTATTTTTTTTTGTAGGTCTATTGGCAGGCACCAATGGCACGAACGGTGGTACATACGGTTCGTCGCTGAACGCACTCGGTCTCACGCTGGCCGATCTGAACTCTAACCAGTTCGCCATGCCGCAATCGCCACCGGCCAGTTCGCCGTTGTACTTTTTGAACAACAACAATAACAACAACAACAGTCGTGAGTACAAAAATTAACAGAACAACATTTAAGGAAACAAAAACAAAATTTACCGTGCCCCAGCCGCCACTCCGTCATTTAAAAACAACCCCATACCGTCGAGCGATAATCCGAAGAACTTTGGGGAAGTAATAAAATATAAACTCTCCACCGTGTTTCGTCCGAGGGAGAAATCAAATAACACAACAATAGGGTATCGCGCCGGGAAAGCATTTTTGCTTTTTTTTTTTTTTGTAAACGTGACAACTAGAAGTAATGCGTTTATATTTCACGAGCCGCTTTCAAAACCTTCAAATTTCATGATCCAGGGTTTCTTATTCTTCTCAAAAAGCGAACAATTATTTTATTATCTGATGTTATGAACGAGTTATTATAAACTTTTCTTTTTTCTTTTTAATAAATTATTGACTTTCTCGAGCATCGTGGCGCTGCTACTGTTCATTGTTCGTGTAGTAGACAACAGAACAATGCGATATCGATGAATTGATGCACGCTGAAAAATCAGTTCCTCGTGTCCAATAACAAAAAAAAAACAGACATTAATTCGTTTGAGGTATACGTTCTATCGTTGAGAACTCTTCTATTTTACCTTTATGAAACTTGAAATATGGTGGATACCTACCTACATTTTTACGATACATAATAATGTATAATATATACTCCTAACTTATTAATTAATATTTTATAAAAAAATGAATTAATACATAAATATTGTTTACAAGCTGGCATATGACATAATAATGTGTAATAGGGTTGTGGCTTTCCTATCTCAGAAACAGAAACATATTTTGTAACTATGACAACAATCATTTCGTAGCCGGTAGGTACTGAGATATTAATCGACAATAGAACAAAAAATAAAATTGGGTATAACGATTATTAATTTGTCAGTTCATGGACACTCGTATTATATTATTTTTGCATACGGTTTCATGACAATCGTTATCAACAATCCTTCATATTTTTGTATACCGAAGATGTATTCGAAATAGTTTTATTGATCGCATAAACTGAATTACAAAATATTATAGTTACGTGATTACGACACAATCATGGAAAAAATTCAACTGCTCAAAAATTGATATTCAAGTACGCATTCATGTTTTTTGACTACGTAAAATGTGTTATCTACGCTTGGCTCGTTGTTGTGCCTCGTGGTAGTCATTATTTTTTATCATCCCCCTGAAGTAAAACTCTTCAGATACTCCCCCGTGATACCGAATTACCAATATTTCCAATAAAGATTACAAATATTACCTATATAATATATTTTATAGGTTCATATAATAAACATAAATGTTAAACAATTTAAAAGATTGTACTGTACAACGTCTAAAATAAAACTTTTATTAACATTTGAGAAATATACATTGTTCATAATGCTCTTAGAAACATAAAATTTATTTAGTGTTCTTTGGAACGTTTTGAATTATGACACTATATAGCGCAAGATTTAACTATGGAAAAATAAACTATAAATTATTCGGTTCACGGTTAAAGTACTTACTCTGATTAATACAACCCTAAGTATTTTCATAAACTAAATTTTCCAAGTATAACGTATTAATCTTCAACAGATGGCATCTCAATCAAACATAATTATTTCTTGAGTTGGTTTTTGATTTGATTTTAGGTATAATAGTTTCTAGTAAAAAAAAAATTAAAAACGTATTTTATTTTTTATACAAACGTGTTTGGGCTTTTTGTTTCTCCGAAATTATGTTACAATAAATTTTTATTATGCTCACGAAATATTAAATAGTTTAATGTCATACAATCATCTCAATTATAATATTATACGTTACATATTATTACACGATGTAGATTGAAAGTGATTAATGTATCATAATAATATGTTCGTGTTCACTGTTTCGAAAAATTTCATAGCTTGTGATCAGAATATTTAAAATAAATACCGTTTTTATTTACAATTTCTATTTGTATAATAATAATTACAAAGTTAATTTTAGCTGACCATGATATATTGAGATAAAAATGTTCTTATATTATATAATTAAATACTAAAATCTTATAAAATAATATTTAAAGAAATAGTAATCTTAACGATGCTGTGAAACAATCCCTGTCAGCCAAACAAATAATTACATTTTTTAAATAAAAAGATTAATAAATGTATTCACTATTGTCTAATGTGTTCTTTAAATTCGAAATTCATAATTTGGTTTATTTTATTAAACATATTATAGTAATTATCTTGTAGGTAAATTAATTGTCTTTTTTTGTAACTTACTTTTTAAATAATGTCAGTAAAAAATAATTAGATAAAAATAAAAATGTTTACAAATAATTATACAAATTATCATTAAAAAATATTCATAAAAATACAGTTATATCATTACATAAAATAAAATCAGTTTTTTTTTTGTCTTGGATATTTTAATAATAGTAAAACTTGTTTGTAATTCTTATTTTAATTTCAAGGAAAAAATGCGTGTATAATAATATTTAAAAAAATCCTTCAAGAAAATGTGTCCGTGTTTAGTCAATAAATAAAATAAACAAATTATGTTCAGTCGTGTTAATCTTTTAACTAGGTTAAATAAAAATCCTTCAAAGCATATCAGTTATGTTCACTGTGCCGAACAATCGAAGTCGTATTCGTTATAACTGTTGTCGCTGTGGGTTGTCATAATATCATCAGTCTTGTGCCGTTTCGTTTAGATGTTTGACAAGGATTGAAATTTAAAACGACACATTTGTTCTGTATCCCTAACTATTTGTTTGGGTTTATTGCGCGATTATTACACTCAAGACTGGTAATGGTCAAATTATAATAATGTTAGCGAAAAATAAAATGATATTTACTTGCAACTGAAAAGGCTTGTGATTTATGGGCGTGTCACGTTTACAAAACAAAACTCAATATCGTATAGTGGGTAGATAATAAGTATTCACTTATAAAGTAAAATAATATATGTTCCGTAAAACCAGAAAGTCTCCCGAAAATCATTTTAGAAGTTTTAATGCACCAATATATAAAATGTACCTTTATAGCATAAATTCGTAAGTTTTGTTTTACTAGCTTTTGGATTCGTATTGTACATTCATTATGCATGTATTTCAAATGTATAGGTATATTGTGACGTTGGTTGTCAGTCACTTAGTATTTTCACCGTTAAATTATAAACGTCATTTCTCTCCTCCCACGCCACCCACGCAAACTTCCATACTTAGTTGGCTGCTACATTTTCGCTTTGCTTTATTTACTTAATAATTAATTAATCAATTATATTATAACGAACTTTTGTGATCGTCTTGACTTGACCGGCTTCATTTTTTAAACTGACATTGCGCTTATTTTTTAATTTTATATTTTTATATTCACTATTTAATTTAGACGGGTTGATTGTCTCCCTTACATTATTATATTTACATTTTGCTATGCTATTTTAATACTGTTGTGTTTGTTGTATCGTTTGTTATGTACTATGTTGTTGCGTAATTATTTTGTTTAGCGACAAAAGTGTCCAGCAAGCAGCTTGAAGGTCCGGAAGGTGCCAATCTGTTTATATACCATCTCCCTCAGGATTTCGCTGATTCTGATCTCGTGACCATGTTTTTACCATTTGGTAACGTTATATCGGCAAAGGTTTACATTGATAAAGAGACCAAACTGTCCAAGTGTTTCGGTAAGTCGCGCAGGTGCGCATTATACGAGCAGAAAACGGTGAAAAATTACGCGTTAAGTTTTAGTAATTACTAATTATATTTTTCACTATTTTTCTCACTTTAAAAAAAAGTATATATATATATTGAAAGCGTAGGCACGAAGTCTTGTACTCTGTCAAACGATTACTATATAATTTTGTATCCGTGACATTGTATTCATTTTTAAATTTTTTATTGACACTATAACATAGTGAACAAATCATGATTGTCGAAATAGTTAAGGATATTTCCGATACTTTCGTGCGTGATCTGCGAGGTTGGTCACCTACACCTTAAACGAGAAACATATATTTTTATCTCCGGCAAACCGCCATTATGTATGTTTCTTTGGGCTTAAGTTTTTACATTTTGGGTGGAAGGGGAGGGTGGGCGATTGCTCACTTATGCAGTCAGCCTTAGTTGCCATTTTAAAGTACACCTATTTTGCCCTACCTCTATATACCATTTTATGTTGCGATGTTGTAATGTATTGTCCTGCTTTTGCCTGTAGTGCAGTTTTATCAAATCATAATAAGTAATAACAGTTTTAAAGCTGTATACTATGCTAATATAGACATGCCTGAACAATGACGTCCAATAGTATATTGTTTATAGTGAAAAATAATATTAATTATATTACTATACATAAGAAGACGCAACAACCGCGAATTAGATCTTTTCTTGTTTTTCAATAGTCATAGAAATAACCACGTGAAATTGTGTTTCTATTGCGTGTTTCAACTGTAAAAGTATTTGAAATAAAAACGAACGATTCAACTTGGTACTTACCTACTTAATACTTTGGTTCAAAATCGAAACAAAACTTTCGATTTTGAATCTCGTCCGTAGAGTTGCTAGAGTACAAGACCGTTCTTGCACGTGCGCAAGACAATGAAGACAAAATGTACACGAGTGGTTGCGTCCTCTTAAATTAATATAACAATGCATGCTTCCTTTAGACCAGTGGTTTACAATATTCCAGAATAAAGTTGTTATTTAGTGCTTTAGCGGTATTGATCTAATCGCCGCATCTGGTAACAATAATAATATTAATATAATAATAGTAAAAATAATAATTATCCAATCCAATCGAATCGTCAACAAATCGCATTGTAATAAATAATAATATTATACTACTATGCGTCTTACAAACAAATAGGTACGTCTGTGGGACAATGCTCAGTAATTGGTTGGGTCTCGTGGCAGCGAGTATATATGTATACGACGAATTGCGCGATTAATAATCTTACGCCTTCGCTTGTGCGCGCACGACAAATAAAAGTACTTATTACCGACTGTTTCAAAAAACTTCAGCCACAATAAAAATTGACGATCAACATTTCTCCGTTGCAGAACGAAATTCAACAATTAAATTAATTTGTTTTTCCTATTGCTGGCGTAAATTTTGTTCACACTACATTCCGTTACATAATATTTGCCAAAGGAAAATGTTTTCGTTTCAGTAGATTCGGAAATGCGCGTTTGAAACTTGGTTTCCTCTTTAATGGTCCTCTATGAAGATTATTATTATTTCGTTGGCTATTTATAATGAAGCGCAGATGTCCACTTCAATAATATTTAAAACGCGCAACAAAAAACGAATTTAATATTTTATTTTCATACGGTCATTTAAATATTTGAACTGTGCATGTGGGCAGGGGCTGGTGTTTCGCATACGAGTCATTTTTGGAAATGTTGATTTTAAATTTTATTGATATTTTACACTCGGATTATCCCGACCCGGTGACTGGCGGCGCATCATCGCGGGCGGTCTGCGGATTCTCCGATGCAAGTAATGAATTTCGTATTGATTTTCGTCGCAACATTCGAGCCTCCTCTTTGCACCGCGACCGTTCGGTAAAACTGAAAAAAAATATACGTATCAAATATTCCAGTGAACAATGTAATATTTTTTTTCCAAACGTAGTTTTGTCCCTCGGGGGTGGTTTTTATCGCGTAGATGCGATAATAATTCACGTTGTAGACCTCTGCGCGAGACGTGTTGGTTGTCGCATTGGCGGGTCCACCTAAAACACAACAGCGAGCATGTATAATAATATACTGTTGTATCTATTTGTATTTACTACTGTGCTAGTGCAGTCCGACTTGGTCAACTCAAAGTACGTCATTGAGTATGATAACTCGGAACTTTTTGTCCGGTTCTCTGCACTTCCTATATTTGAACAGTGTATGAAAAACAAAATATATATTGTGTTTAATTCATTTTTTTTATTACATGCGACAAAAGGCATAGTATAAAATGATTTATTTTCGGAAGACACAAAATATTTTTAGCCGTTATTGTTATTTCTTTTTTTGTTAAGTACAATGGATTTTAATTTTGATTTTCGTTCTTTTAAATTTATATTTTACCTTGTGATCAACACAATATAGAATACAATTGAATAATAATATCTGTGTGTTTCCTAATATTACGAGTATGTTGTGTCCCATAACGAAACCATTTTTATTCTCCGATCACCTCAATTTTGACTGTATTAAGTATACTGTACTATACTTATACTGTACTCAGTGTTGAGAGGCAGAACAACCCTGAATAATTAATTATTTATTTAGATACCCACCACTATTTGCCACAATGATAATAGATAATCTATAGTCGTGCTCAATGGCGTAAGTAAGACCAAATTTAGTTGGTTGCAACAAAAGTTTTCAAAATTTCTCAGATCCGTGTTAGGCTTTACCCTCCCCACATACATAATTTTTTTTATTGATTTTCATACTTTTTACCTAACTTAATTAAAAATAATATATGTAAAAAAAGTATTTTATTTTACCTATTTATAAATTACATAATAAATAGATAAATTCAAATTAAACGGTGACTCTAATTTTAGAAATTTCTAGGGTTGCAATATAATACCTTTGCAAGTGACCCCCCAGCTTACGCCATTGATTGTGATGTGTCGAGAAGTTATAGCACCTACACGATGATTAATAAATAATATTTTACTATGAAACTGATAACAACAATTATAATAATAATATTAATAAATTGTATAAAATACTCAGTTTTTTAATTTTTGTCTCCCCCTTATGTAGGGTTTGTGTCGTACGACAATGCGTACAGCGCGCAGGCGGCCATACAGACGATGAACTCGTACCAGGTGGGCAACAAGAGGCTAAAAGTGCAACTTAAGAGACCCAAAGAGGCGTCCAGGCCGTACTAACAGCGCCAACTACCGACCGACCGACCGACCGACCAACAATCGCACCCGACAAGAACGGTCGTGTACGCCGTACTATTTTTGTTTAAGAAGACATGAACTATAATAATAATTGTTATGTGTGTACATAATAATACTTGGTTTCTTTTACTTTTGTTTCGTTTTTTTGTTTTTGTTTTCGTTTTTTTTTTTTTTATATATAATATTATATAATATATAAATATGTATATCTACATGACACAGAATGATAGGGATATTTTTAACGCAGCTTTTGAGGTAAAACAAATCGAGAAATAAAGATGTAAAGAACTATATACTGAATTACGAAAAATTGAAACATAACTTAATGACATACTGAATTCTCATTTGAACTATTTTGTTATGTTTATGTATATATGTCTTATATGTATAAGGAAATATGTCAGATTATTAATTTTGTTTTATTTCCGTGTTTTTCTTCTTCATTATTAATTTTTTTGTTTTGTTCTAATGTTATTATTTCTTTACAAAAGGACCAATTTTTCGTTATTATTATTCTTTGGGACGCCGTTTCGACTCGTCTCTATGTATTATGGTTTTACACTTAACACTGAACAGTAGTCTTAAATTAATTAATTTTTGATCGTTTAAATGACATCTCTAGACTGCTCTTTTATTATTAATATGTAATGTTTTTCTTTATCGTTTTCGAACTAATCGTGTATACCCTTGAAATTATTTGTTCGGCAATCAGGGTATTAAGAGAGTATACCCTTAAAGAAATGTAATTTATTTGATAAATAATAATAATGTACTAAAAAATTTGAATTACGCCCCGTAATGGTTCCTGTAGTTTAATATAAAAAAACAAAAAAAAAACATATTTAGCGTACAGTTTTGTAAAAATAAGTGGTCAAAATAGTATACTCATAATATGTAATAACTACCTAATAATAATGTTTGTTTTGTTTTTTCTTTTTAATTGCAACGACTTATAAAATTAAATTTTGTTCAGTATTAATTTTAATTTATTGTTTTTGCATGTGTTAATAATTTTATAGACTTTTTCCAATTGATGCCATTTTCAATAACTACAAAGACTTACATTTTTGTTTAGGTGATATTATTATGTTCTTTGTGCTTGAAAAAAAAAAACTAAAAAAAATCACGTGTTCATGATTGTGAAAATTTGTCTTTTTGTCTTGTGTCCCGTTTGCATTTATATTATATAAAGTAATAATATTGTTGAATAAATGTTTATATGATATCAATCATCACGATCGTTGACAGGCATTATTGTGATAAGAATAGCCTAATTTTGTTTTGTTTTATCATAATTAAAATGTTTTTTTTTCAATAATTAAAAGCATCGAAACTTAAGTATATTATATATTTATTTATATACATATATATTATAGCACTGCTACTCGTGAGCTAGTTACTTAGTCAAAACGTATTGAATATTTTTTAAAACTAGTGTTTTGGTGCTAAAGCGATTTTTAACATGTTTTTGTTTATTTTTTTTTTTGCATTAGGCCATATTATGTTATGTAATGTTAGTATAAGGTATTTAGCCCAAGTGAAATGGTTTTTTTTTTTAATTTTGTTTAATAATTCTCCCCTCCAGTTTTTGAAGACTCTTATTATATATATTTAGAAAAAACACGTTGTAATATTATGTTTATTGATGTTCACTTATTGTTTGTGAAAGAAAAGTTTTTTGTGTTTAAACATATTTTTTTCTGTTCATTTTTATGAAGTTATTATATGAATACTTAATACAAATACATTTGCATGTAATAATGCCGTACAATTAAGTCTTGTGTTGGTGTTTACTAGTTTATATATTTGTTCGTTTTCTGCAATACTTGTATGCACTTATACAATGTGTTGCTATTGTTTTGTATCCGGCCTATCTGTCAATATATGGTTCGTCATGTTATGTTATAAAAATGAAAATAACAACAACTAAAAATACATTTATATTCATTTAGTTTGTAAAAATGTTAAACCTATGGAACGTATTATCTTAGATATCGTATACAGTTATTAGCCGACGCGCGATGAGGGGAACCTAAATTCATGGCTTTAGTGCAAAAACTCAAAACCTGGTTGGGGTTTTTTTCAAAATTTGTAGAGTGATTGGTGGTTTTATCGGGTTGTCGGCAAAATATTCCACCTGGAAACCTCAATTTAATGTGATATTTTTACTACCTAGTGATAATTCACGGTACTCCCATTCATCATCACACATTAAGCTATAACATGTTTACAATTCAACAAACAGGTTACAATATGGGTATTTTTTTAAGTAAAAAAAAACTTGTGAATAAAATATAAATAATAAACAATTTGAAATGAGGACCGATGGCTTAGCATTAGGTATAATGTAATAATATGATAGGTATATATTTTGGTTAAATAAACTTTACAGAGGCTAATATTTATTATTTTTTTGGATAAAATAATATTATTTTTTCGCACTTAATAATATAAGAACTTAAGCTGCCACGTCAAATGTAAACTTGGCTCTTCGTTTCCAGTGTATCGGCTATGGTGGTGTATATCATAATATTTTTTAAAAATTATTTACGAGTATATATTTTGAAAATCAGCTCGGGTTTTACTGTGGCGTTCTGACGAAAAAACCTATTGGGTTTATTGATTGGTCGAACCCGGAAAAGCAGTCTGGGCTTATAACGTGGATGGTCTCTGTGCCAACGATGGTTTAGAAAACCGCCGTGTTTAAAAAAAGAAAATTGACTTGGTTCTTCGTCGGGAATAATAATGGAATACAAATGGTATATATCATTAACATAATGAAATTATTCACAACAAAGCATAGCACTACAAAATAAATTACTCGAGAAGAATTTTTACAATATTGATTATATTATATAGGCGATGGTAACGGAGACGAGGCGTGTGATAAACAATATTATATTAGCACAGTTTTTCTTACATACATTTTATGATCAAATTTTGACGAAATTATAGATATTATTTTAAATATTGATATTAGATTTTTCTATTAAAAAATACATAAATATTATTTTTGGGTTCCCAACACTGTAACTTACATTTGAAATTGTATTAAACGCAATGACATTTTCATAACATTTTTAATAATTTTAAATCATGTAAGGAAATATAATAAATAGTTATAATGTATACTAACATATTTTATTGCCGAGATGTTCCTCTTGTCCGATATCGGAACTATATCTAACTGTGGGGTGTGTCGTGTGTGCATCACATTGTATAATGATAATTTATGACAATAATCATAATAATTTAGAACCTTACATTCGGCTCAAAAAAAAAAGTATAAATGTACAACTTTTTTTTTTATAAATTATTATGATTACTGTTATCAACTATCATTATACGATGTGATGCACACAGCCCATAGTTAGTTAGTTCCGATCACGGTCAAGAGAAACATCTTGGTAATAAAATATATTAGTATACAATTCGTTATTGCTATTTGTTATATTTCCTGACAGATATTACGTATATTTTATACTATTGATCTATCCACACTGTTCAACTGTGAGGTGGTATTGACTCAGAAGTTAATAATTACCTATAATATTATTATGTAATTAAAATGTAGGTACCTACTCAACGTACACTATTAAAATAACTAAATAATAATTAATATAACAAAATTTAATGGAAGATTTTTTTGGAAAAAAATTATATTGACCAAACAGTATTTATAGTAGTAAAATAAGCAAGTATAGTAGCAACATCATGAAATACACTTGAGCATAGGCTGACAGACCATCTCCGCTCAGAATTGTTTTTTGTGTACAATGATAATTGATAAATTATTGAATTCAACTTTAACAATTCCATTACAGCGGACCCACTTGACATCTACTGTACAACTGTACTGTCAACTGCAGAGCGAGCACTTGCCCACCTTTTTTGATTTTAATATATTGTCTGTTAACTTTAAACTCATATCTTACCATCGACTTGATGAGAACTAACTCTAGTTAACTTTATAGTGCCGATAAGAATCTGCTTTGAAAAGATAAATATTTTGATGATTTATAATATGATGAACAATGTGTGTAGTCTTTTCATCCTCGTTTTAGTATTCAGACAAACTAAAAAGTTACAACTTTAATTTTGAGTACCTAAGTAACCTAACCGAATAACTTATTTATGATTTATTCTTCGATAAGACTTATTCCGACATTGAAAAACCGGAAAATAACGTATTTTTGTCATCCGGCAAATAACCTAAATCAGATTGAAAAACCGGGCCTTAATCCGAGTGTACAAAATAACAAAATAATTGATGAATTCAATGGATTGATAACAAATTGGTAATTACCAAATAATTGTTCCTTTTGAACCATTGCAATAATATTGTAATGCACTAATGACTAATACCTATTGATATCATAGGCATAAGTACCACAGAATAAAGAACCTATACATAATAAATATTGATGTTGTGTCTGTGTCCTTTGGTGATAATAATAATAACAACAAAATATATTATTATGTCTACGGGGTAAGGAAACAACAATAGGTATACCTACATTCTCTTCTATGAATCACCAAAGCGTATTTCTATCTCTCTCAAGTCTCAGTCGATATACAGTTGTCGTGCAATAAGTGTGGGTGAAGCCGTGAAGGGAATGGATTTCACGGTCTATGAGGTCATTGTGTCTGTATTTGTGGTTACCACCCATCGTCATATCGTACCCGTCGAGCCCGGAGATTGTCTGACCGCGGTTACCTGTCGATTGTGTCGTGGTATCACCTACCCACACAATTTCTCATCCCTCGTCGATTTCGTCGTGAACGTGTTCTGTCACTGTCGTACAAGAAGTGCGTATAGCTGCAATAGGAAACTGTCAAACCCCCCTGACCGCATTTAAATAATAGCTTCTTACAATATTTCTCACCTCAATTCTTGCAGGGTGATACCGGGTGAGAATGCGTGCGATATACAATTTACATCATGTTTAACAGCATTTTTTAATATTTCAAATAAGCTGCGATAACTTATCATCGTTTTGTCAATTCAATCTAATGAGCTTATATTTTGTAATGCTGTGAATATCGGGGTTATATTCAATACCTATCTAGTGGTCGTATTTGTACAACTCACGACACACCGTTTTAGACCCAGTGGCTGGTAATCCCGGTCTTCGTAATTTGAAAGGCTCAGTAAAATCGATTATCATAAATTCCAATCATATTAATATCATACAATAATATAATATGAATACCGTGTCATGATATTTTATTACCTGCCGGCCAGTGCAGCTAAGCCAGTGGCATACGCTATACAACTTGTGGCGAAATTCGTATAAAATCTGGGTACGAGAAATGTAATTTAGATACGTCTTTGACTGTATTTTTTGAGAATTGTAAGTTTCCGCACTCGAGTAGCAGGTAAAAAATGACATACTTTAATTCCTTCATATAAGATGTGTAA